AACCTGGGCATGTGCCATGATCAGGAATCGAACATGACCTCCTGGTTCATAGGTCAATGCTGGCTGGGCTTAGAGTTCATTTTTATGTAAAGTATAAGGAAGATGTCCAACATCATCCTTTTACATGTGGATATCCAGTTGTCCCAGCACCATTTGTCAAAAGAGGGATATTTTTTATTTTTCCTTTTGTTTTATCTCTCATTCCAACCCATCATCAAGTTTTGCTCTTTTTCCCTTTAATATATCTACCACCTTTTCACTATCAGGCCAATTTCCAATCGAAGCCTTCACAATCTCATACCTAACTGACTGCATCTGTGTCTATCCTTCCAAGCTCTCAGCAAAAAAATAAATAAATCAAGAAATGGAATTGAATTCCTGTAATTCACCTGCTCCAGAGCCTACGATAAATCCCTACTACATACAGCATCAGGGCCAAGCTCCTCTCCCTGATTTCTCTAATCTGGCCCCACCCTGTCTACACCAGCAAATCAAAGATGTACAACTTTATCTTCCATGTTTATTCAGCTCCTCACTGAAAGGGGGGTTCCCTTTCCTTGCTGTCCTTTCCCCCTTCATCATTTTCCTATCGATGTACCCCATTAAAATCCACATAGGTCCTTAAAGGCTCCTCCAAGCCCCAGCTCCTTGATAAATGTCCCTTAACTCCTCCAGCCCTCACCAGTACTCTCCTGGGTCCCTGCTGCATGTGTGTGCTCTGTAACACCAATCACTGTGCAAATGACAGTGGTACACAGAATTTCATGCTACCACCCAGCACTGATGAGCAGTTATTGAGCAGCTACTGAAGTTCACAGCACTGTGCAGGCATGACACATTTCATGCAAGCACTATTTCCTCCTGCCATCAAATGGGGGAATCCAATAGGATAAGATCAAAGATCCTCCTAGATCTAGCATTCCACTCCTCCATTCATGCTATATTGACTCAATTTTGAAGTCTAAGCTTAAAATTAACTTCAAATTTCCAGTGGAGGGAATGTTCCAAAACTAAGCCTGTGTTTCCAAAGATCCCAGTATTACAATTTTTTGCCACCAAACTCACTGGGCCTATTAGTGATAGAGCCCCTGTTTAGGGCATCTGTGACTGGGTCTGCAGCTCAAGCTGCAAGACCGCTCCAAGTCTCTAAGTTAATTTAAAGAGTATGAGATTGCAACCCCTCCCCCCACCTCACCCCCCACCCCCATTTAAAAAATCTTTCAAATTGAAGAGGCAAAGTTTGATCCCTTCCTTGAGAGCGGAGAACAATAGGAGCTTTCTGCCCTGGTACGACTTCAAAGGGTTGCAGAGTGACTGCTCTCAGAATACTTGGTTGTAATGACTAAAGAAACGCACAGGCATCCTCCTGCGACGCACAGCCCCGTGAGCACCAGGGAAATTCCGCCCCCTTTCTTACCAGCACTTTAATAAAGCAACGAGTGGTACTTGTAAGTAGGCAGGTGCAGGAAACTGGAAGGTTGGGCCTTCGGCAGAGAGCGGGCGAGATCTGGGCATTTAAGCAACACCCGGCTGTAAAGATCCAGAGAACTAAGAATTAGTTGAAATGACCTAAATAAGTGGGGGAGGAGGGGGGGGGGATCAACTGGAGCTGGTTTACTGGATTGATTCCAGAGGCATGATTCCCTGGTTGCTGCAAGGAAATGCCTGAGGCAAGATACCAGGCTCGGTCGCGAACTAGCAACCAGGAGTTCCCAGCAAACACTTTCTTTCTGGAGTGGATGCCCGAGCGCGCAGAGCAGGTCCACCCATCGCGCGAGGGCCTCCGCGGAGTCACCTACCCGCCGCCTGCAGGTGGCATCCAGTCCGCGCTCGCCGCCCGCCCGCGAAGCAACAGCGTGGCAAACTTCCCACCTCGGGCGCCTGCTGCTTGGAGAGCAGCGGAGTGGGGCTCCTCGGCACCCGCGGCTGCTATACAGCCTCCCCGCGGCGCCCGGGTTAAAGTTTGCGCCCTATTCGCCGACCTCCCTCCCCCTCATCTCCGCCCTGGGGACCACGGAGGAGTTCCTGGGTCCTCCTGTGCACAAACACCCACCAACAGAAGAAAGCCCATTAAGTCTTCCCTCCTGTGAACTCGCACCCCAACCGATAGCTCTTTGAACTGACCCCCGCCGCCGCAGCCCCGAGCCGTCTGGAGCGCGCTGGGCCCTCCCGGGCTCCCTCCCTCCCTCCCTCCCTCCCCGCTGCGCACTTTTGCAGCGCGCTAGGTCTTTGATGTCTTTTTACATTATGGCCGAGCAGCCACACGCTCTTCCCGGCGCGGGGATTTGTGTAACGCAACTGACATTTGGCCTTGATACCTGTGTCTCCTGGTGATGACAACAAATCTCTAAAATAAACGTTGTACTTTGATCTCCCGGCATTGCATTTTTTAATGGTCGCTGCGAACATTACTTCATTAAGAGTAAGTTTTTCAGGAGCACGGAATGCAAAGGGCGGGAGGCTAAACAGCAGTTTGTAACAGTCTCTCCAGACTCCAGCTCGCGCCTGGGAGGGCTGGATTCCCGGCGGGTTTTTACAAATGGAGATGAGGCGAAGAGCAAGGATTTCCAACACTCAACACAGAGCCTACTGTGCATTGTCCCAGCACTGTCCTAAAGACTTGGCATGTGTCAAGTCATCTTGTAAGCCTACAAGCACTGTACAGGTGAGCACTACTGTAGCCCCCATTTCACACATTGGGAAACTAAAGCACAAAAAGACTTGAGTAACTTGCTTATCAAAGTTACCAACTAGAAAGTGGAAATCTGGGTTCAGATTTTCAGAGTCCGAGCTCTTAACCAAAGCCACCACTCTGCTTCACTGGTGGAGGTTTCTTGGCTAAGTGGAGGCATCTCAGAGAAAAAGTGCTCTCCTATAACAACCAAGAGTGTGTGGATTGGCCTTTCTTGCCTTTTTGTCACAATAGGGAACAGATTCGGCAAGTGCGAATGCCTCCAATCTGCTTGGCCCAGCCTCCCGGGGACAGGGGGTGTGAAAGAGCTCAAAAGATTTCAAAAGGACACACGCTAAGGGACTAGACCGCTTGCCCAGTGCGGACTGGTGCCGGCAGGGCTGTGCGCCACGCGACTCCCTGGCCTCTGACTTGTATCCGGAAAGGGGCTCCTACTGGTCCCAGGCTTCGCGGAGACTCGACCGAGCGTGGAAAGGGGTAGGTTTGCCCGGCCTCAGATCAAAGCACTAAGTCCCTTCCTTTCCCCTCTCCCAGAGCACCCAGACCTCGTCACCGAGCTGTGTAGTCACTGCTCAGAGTTCCCGGGGTGACACCTTGCTGGAGAGATGAGGGGCGTGCAAGGACGGGACGTGCAAAGTGCTCGGTATTTGGGCCACTTCCGGCCCATTTGTCTCAAGCAAGACGTTTTTTTTCCGCTGATGGGCCCTGGGCATGGGGAATTGGACCTCGTGGGGTGGTGTCCCGCTCCTTGGTAAATGCAGAAGGAACCAACATACTACCGCCCAGACTCTGAATCCGAAGCCCGCTGGAGTTCAGTCACCCTATCCGCCCTCTCACATCAGTCCCGCCGCAGAGCGGTACCCGAGAGGACTATGCGCAGGAAGGCTGCGGGCGAGAGGACTTGGAAGATCCCTGGACCAGGGAGAGGAGGGAGAGGCCGGCATGGGTCTGGGTCTACCAGGCCCAGGAGGCCCAGCAGCCCCAGCTACCCGCCGCAGGCCTCCGAAGCTATTCCCGGCCCCTAATCCTTCTAGTGCAATGGGGGACCCCACGGCTCCCCGCCCGCCTCCCCAAGAGAGCAGATCCAGGTGTCTGTACAGCCCCCGCAGGGTCCGCCTTGCACTCTCGGCAAGGGAGGCAGGTGTCGGCTGGGCGTGGAGGGCCAACGAGGGTTTGGGCGGGGAGGGGGCGGTGTACACACCTAGAGCATTTCCCTGACCTGGGCAAAGCACGCCCCGCTCCTGAAGAACTTTCTTTTCTTTCCAAAGGTAATGAGAACAACCGTTTTAATGGACTTTTCTTTCCGATTAGAGGACTATGTATTTGTCCTGGTGCGTGCCATTGTAGTTTGTTCAACAACAAAAGGCTTCCTCGGCCCGCGCTTTACTAGTACTTTTCAGAGTAGGTTCCAGGGAAATCCTGTCCGGCGGGTGCCAGGCGCACATCCATTAGCATAGCTGAGGGGGAAGGGACAGTGGGGTGGGGGGGAATTGCCACCCCCCGTGGGGGGCTTTTGGTGGGGCCTAATAGCGAGCCTCCTCCCCCCTGCGGGGTCCAGGGCTGCGGGCCTGGAGAGAAGGGCTAGAGAACAGCATTTCTTCCTTCGGGTGTATACTCTGGGTTGCTCGGCTTTGGGAGTAAACGCGTGGGCACGGTGTTTTCCCCAGACTATGTGCAAAGTTGTGGCCCTAGAAAACTTCCAGGTCGCCAGTAGGAAGGTCTCAAGAGGGCCCAGGAGCTTGTCAGGCGGGCGGCCCTGAAGTGTGCGCGCCACCCACTGCGGCTCTGGGCGGCCGCCCGGTCCCGCCTCGCCCCGCCCCGCCCCGCCTCGGGTCACAGCCCAGCCCGCGGCTTCACTGAGGCGCGCAGGGGGGCACGCGGCGGGCGGGGCGAGGTGAGTCCCACGCTCCGCCCCGGGAATTCCCTCGGGTCCGCGGTGTGCGCGCAGTTCCGGCGTGAGGTGTGTAAGTACCGGGGAGGGGAGAATTACCCTCACCTCCGTCTCAAAGTCCGAGCTTGGAAGACGAGGGCAGATTTCTCTGGAGATAACAAAGACACTTTGTCACTTTGGGCGCAGCCTCGGTGCAAATCTTTAATTGCAAGGGAGTGGGGGGGGAGAGAGTGTCTCAAGCCACCGAGCGCGGGTCTCCAGGGCGGCAAGGCCCCCTTTGATCAGGAAAATCCAATTATTTGTGTATATACATTTCCCACATAGTGATTACTTTCATTTAATTTGTCCCGCCTTTATCTCCTCCCTTCCCAATCCCCCCTAAATAATCAGTTCTTTTTATCCAGACCAACAAACACACCATAGGAGCTTTTGTGGATTCAAAAGGAATTTGCTTTCGCTTCTGAAAGAGCCGCTATTCTTTGATGATTGGGTAGCGGCAAACTTCAAAGCCATAAATCTTCCCTCTGACTGGCTGGCGGCCCAGCAAAGTCCTTATCAAATTCTTGGAGGTGATCCTGAAGCGCTCAGACTTCGCGCAAGGCGAGCGCGCGGGGTGCGGCCAGGGGCGCGGGCAGGGAGGGCCCCGGTGCACGGGGCGGGCTCCGGCGAGGGGTTCGGGGGGCCGTCCGTCCTGCCGTGGGGTCTCCATGCCTCGGCTGCGCCCTGCTCGGCAGCCAACCGCCGGCAAGCTGTAGCCATGGCCGCCGTTGCCGTCCTCCGGAACGACTCCCTGCAGGCCTTCCTCCAGGTCAGGGCTGGGCTCGGAGGGGGCGAGGGAAAGGTGGGAGGGTCGGGTCTCGATTTCCCCTGGTATTCTGCGTACCCTGAATTTCAAAAGGAGCCGTGCGCCGTGGATGTCGCTGGAGTCAAACTTAGGGGGGTGCCCACGCCAACTTCGCACCTAACCTTGGTGTCAAGAGTGTGGCCTTTGGGGGAGGGACGCGCGGATCCGGGGGTGGTGGTACTGGGGTGCCTCTGGCTGAGAACAAGGCCCTAGCTGACCCAGCTGGGCCCCCCTGCTGATTTCCACCGGGGGCGGGGGAGGGGGCAGGGGAGGAGCCCGAGAGTAGCGTGGAAACAGCTTAAAAGATGAGAGGGAGGGAGTAGGGGCAGTCTGGCTGTGGGTGTTTCCAGGCCCTTTCTGACCGCGGAACCGGGAGTCGCGGGTCGGATCCCGCTCCCCTCCCACTCCGTGCCTGGTTCCTCTAAGACTGGGTGGCGTCTCCGTGAACCAAGTACAGTAACTTAACAGGAAGCCCTCGTGCGCTTCGCGGGCAGGTAGCTCAGGCACCAAAAGTTTCCCGGGACTGGTGGGTGCGCGCGTGGGGTTCGGTGGCGGGAGAGGGGCAGCGGCACGTTCTAGAGGCGGCAGTATAATAGGTGGCGAGGGGGTGGCGGGCTGGCCCGGAGACCGCGCTGGGAACGCTCAACCTTTGTCTGTTCTACGCCCTCCCCGGCCGCCGCACAACCCCAGCGCCTCCCGGAGCTGGGACCCGAGCAATCACTCACTACTGGCTCTGATAGACGGCCAACTGTAGCCGGATCGGCCAGCCGGGCGCTGCGGAGGCCTGGGTACATCCTGCAGGTGCTCTACGACCCAGCGCTGGGCTCGCCCTCCAGGCTTTTTCACCCGTGGACCTCCGACATGCCGGCGCACTCGCCGGGCGCGCTGCCGCCCCCACACCCCAGCCTGGGGCTGACGCCGCAGAAAACGCACCTCCAGCCGTCCTTCGGGGCGGCGCACGAGCTCCCGCTCACCCCCCCGGCCGACCCCTCGTACCTTTACGAATTCTCACCCGTCAAGATGCTGCTCTCCAGCATGGCGGCGCTGCCCGCCAGCTGCGCGCCTGCCTACGTGCCCTACGCGGCCCAGGCCGCGCTGCCGCCCGGCTACTCAACTTGCTGCCCCCGCCGCCCCCGCCGCCGCCTCCCACGTGCCGACAGCTGTCTCCCAACCCAGCCCCGACGACTTCCATGGTGGAGTATCCCGCAGCGGGCACGGTCCGGGACTGCCGGGTTCCGGGGGCAGCTGTCGGGAGCTGTGCCGGCGGGCCCACGCGCCCGCTTCCTGCTTCGGCGCGCGCTGCGCGCGCCGCGCGCTCTCAACGGGCCTGTGCTGGGTCGTCGACTTGCGCAGTACAGAGCAGATCGCGCGCTGCTGCAGACAGGCCTCCTGCGCACGGCCAGGAGGTGCCGCCGCTGCCGCTGCCCCAACTGCCAGGCGGCGGGCGGCGCCCCGGAGCCGGAGCCGGGCAAGAAGAAGCAGCACGTGTGCCACGTGCCGGGCTGCGGCAAGGTGTACGGCAAGACGTCGCACCTGAAGGCGCACCTGCGCTGGCACACGGGCGAGCGGCCCTTCGTGTGCAACTGGCTCTTCTGCGGCAAGAGCTTCACGCGCTCGGACGAGCTGCAGCGGCACCTGCGGACTCACACGGGCGAGAAGCGCTTCGCCTGCCCCGAGTGCGGCAAGCGCTTCATGCGCAGCGACCACCTCGCCAAGCACGTCAAGACGCACCAGAATAAGAAGCTCAGAGTTGCTGAGGCCGGCGTCAAGCGGGAGGACCCGCGGGATCTGTGAGCCCAGCCCGGGGCGAGTCTAGGCCTTTCCCGCCTCGCACTCCCCAGCACCTCTCCCTGGGGGCCTGGGGGCAGCTGGCTGAGGGGAGTCCCAGCAGAGGCCCTTGCCCCTTCCTGCTGTCTGCCTCCAGGTTCCCTGGCCTGGCCGGCGGACGGGGACCCCTGTGTCCAGGAGAAGCAGGGGAGGTGGGGTGGAGGGCTCTGCGCCACGACAGGGCGGTTTCGAGCTCCGAACCACTCCCACCGTCTGGGAGACCTACGGTTTTGTGGGGACTGCCCTGAGCTGACCTTGTGTATAGGAAACGTTGCTGGATTAAAGCGGAAGAACCTTGGGGGAGTTGAAATAGTGCTGGGTTTTTTTGTTAGGACAGGGCCCGGCTTTGTACAGGTTATTTAATAGCTTTGTTAAAGGATAACTATAATAATTACAACATTAATAAAAAATGTTACTTTTGTCCTCGGCTCCATGCAGAGCTACAGCATGAAATGTCTATGTAACGCAATCAGCGGTTGCAACGTGAAAATAAATACGTTAACTCCGGGGGTCACCTCGGGGAGACCCCGCTGAGCCGGTCTCATTTGATCTTTTCTTCTTCCGGGAGGCTTCACAAAGAGGTCAGGTTTCACCAGGAATTTGGAGGTTCCTGGAGGCTGCTTGCGTCCGAGGCTTCTTTGGTTTGGAAGGTTCTGGGGAAGTGTATTGGGTGCATGGATGGAGGAAGTAGGGCAGGGTCTGTTTTGCGATAAAGAAGATAGGGCAAGATTTCCCAGTCACACCCTGCGTAACTAACTTATGCGGCCTTGGGACTTTTGACCTGGAGAATTCCCTGTGGCTTCCCATTTGTTGGTGCTCTAGAAACAGGTCTTACTCCAGCTTCGCTTCCTCCTGGCAGCCAGCTATGCTGGTGTCTGGAAAGGTCCTAGCGACGCAAGGATCTGTTCACAGGTGAGATTGCTGGAGAGTTCATAGATAAGCTGGGGGCCCTTGTTCAGGTTTGTCTCTGCCTGGGAAAGAGGCATCAGTCCTGCATCTCAGCCCCATCATGGTATACAACGTTGTCTTGTTTTCGTCTGAATCATTTTGCTGTGCAAAGCTTAAATCTTGTTTTACAATAGCCTCGTTTCTGGCTGGGCCTGGAAGTATAGTTCCATTTTGTATCTTGGGATTTTGTTAATCATTGAAGTAGACTAAGATTTTCTCAGGGAGGGGCCAGGAATACTCATATCTAGGTTTCTCTCCTGATTCTAAAATGTGAAATTTTAAAGTTTACACGTGCTTTTTTCAAGTCTCAACTCTACTGGTTCCATGATGTTTTCTAATATTTGAGTTTTTAAACCTGAAACTGAAATCTTAATCTTCTGATTTAGAATTAGCAAAGAACAGAAACATTTTAAATTTTGTTAAATATGTTAAGCTAGCATCATTAATGCCAAATTTCAGTGGAACTCAATAATCTTCATGGTAATAGAAGTGTACTATATAAGTTGATACAATTTCCCAGTTTACAAACAAAAGTTTGCCTTTTGTTTAAAGTCAAAGTGAAGGGTAAGTTCTTACAAGCTGTGAGGGTTGTACATGAGACTTACTGTAGCAAGTCAAGCACAAATATCAACATAATTGAGATTAAGATTACTGTTATACTCATAAGAAATAGCATTTTTACTCTGTTAACTTGGGACAAGGTAGCAAATGAATATTAGAATCATTGTGGAAACATGCCTTAGAACCAGTTACTCCCATTAGAGATTTTGAAACTACTTAATGACAAATTAGACTGAGTCTTCAGGGTGCTTTACCAGGGAAAGGCAATTGGGGTTAGCTAAGTTGTGGTAGTTTTTCTAGCAAGGAATAAGAAAGACGTTAGAGTAACATTTAATGTACATGTAAATGCGTAATCTTGATCTAAATCAAGATTCTTGAGAATCATTTCTATGTAGAGTTACAGAAACTCACATCTGAGGCATAGTATGGCATCAACCTTAGAGCCAGAAGAGGTTTTTTGGCAGTATGAAGAGACCAAGGGCTTTTGACTCAGAAAAGTTGAAATGATCCTTTCATGAGAAAGAGAATCCCTTGGTAGAAAAAGAAAAATGACAATTTTGAATGAGTCTACTAGCTATTCTTGACAGCTATGAACATTTAGTATCCAAACAGATGAAGTGATGAAGGTAGTTTCCTTATCAATTTAACTTTGTGGTTATTAAGAGAAAAATTACATATTATGTATAAAATTTAGTATCTAAGGTGTTGAAGATAGTTTCCTTATAACTATAATTTTGTGATTGTTAAAAGAAACTAGATAAAATATATGAAATATATCTAAAAATACAGTAATTAAAAGCAGAATAAAGTCATTTGATGACAAAACTTTTTATGTTTCATTTAATTGAACCTGCAAATTTTAAAAAGTAGGGTTAAAGTACAGTCTCTAGACTAACTTTGCATAGCTGGGAAACTGCTCTTTATTGTACCGCTGCAAAATCTATTCCAACAACTTTAGGGGAAAAAAGTTTATGCCATTATCCAAGTGGCAATCAGAAAGCCACAATAATGTGACATTTTTGTCCAAGTGTAGGAAAGTTTTTCATGTTTATACTCAGAAATACAAGTTTGTGCAGAAATGTATTAGACTATATAAGCTGTTAAAATTCAAACTGCTATTACATGCTTTATTTGTTGCATAAAACTGCAACCAGAATACCATTTAGGACTTTAAAATTATTTTTAAGTCAATATGTAAGAAATAATATGCATAAATGATGGATTTAAGCACACTTAGCAGAAAAATTAATGAAATTCAAATTAAAAGAAGTTCAAAAACAAAGTCCTATTAAATATAAAACTAAAATTTATTTTATAATTGGAGTTTTACCAGTATCAAAAAAGACAGTTTAATCTACCAACTGTATTCAAGGCTTTACTTAGAACCCAAAACCCAGTTCAATTAAGTTTTTAAAACTACTTGAAGAAAATACATTAACAATGGCCTTCAATGTCAATAGACATTTTGCATTTTCTAAGCATCTGTTTTAATAGTATGCAAATATAGTGTAAGGTGTCATTTTAGAAAATTCTAAAATTGGTGTGATATTATTTTAAATTTAACACTCAGTTGATAAATGAACCATTTTTTTACCAAGAACTTAGAAACATGGAGAAATTGAGTTATCAGTAATTTAGGTAATTTGGAATTGTGTGTTTCTTGACTTGTTTTATACTCCATAGTTTTCTGCTTTTCTCAAGAGAAAATTGTGCAAATTTACCTTTGGCTGACTGCTAATTTGTAATAGTTCTGGTAATGAATGAAAGTAAATTGTGTTAAAGAAAATACCAGTGTATTATTCACTATTATGTTAGTCTTTTCTAGTTTGGGTTAGAGTTCAGATCTGATAGCTATATTGTATATATTGTTATAAAACTTTTTCCATAAGTCAAACAAGACGTACCAATTAATCTTAATGAGCATGCTTATTGCAGAAATATATTTGAAACAATATTAATAGAAAAGGCAGTTTTTCACCAAGTTTGCACCATGTTTCTAGTCTAATACTGTGGGTTTTTAAGTAATCAGTTAAAGGCAGCATCTTCGTGTTTCCCATTATTTTGGTTTTGCTGTGAGAGTTTCAAAGAATGTTACTAGGGCCAGAGCTCTGATTTCAAATGAGTGAAACACCTAGTAGGTTGTTTGGAGCTCTGAAGTTGCAGACCATATGCATCAGTTGAAGTAAATTGACAATATCTCACTGGGAAATGGTCTGCTGTGAAATCAGATTCAACCCTCAAGCTTTGTTTTATAGTAAATGTAATTAAGATTTTCTAACATCCCAAACTGAGGAGCATGCAAAACAAATCATATTAATGCTCATTAACGTTCTGTTATATATCATTCCCTTCCTCTGGTTTGCATGATGGAGGGGAACTTCAAAAGTTTACGGCACCAAGTGCAGCTTTGAAATGAGTATATGCGTCAACAGTTTGATAACCTAGAGGAAAAAATCTAGAAAGATGTATGTTAGTAAGGAGATATATATTTAGATTAATACACCACAAGGGCATGTTTTATTACTGAGCCACTATAATGGTAACCTGATTAATGGGGCATTCATTCAATATACAGAGAGGGGCAAAAATAGGTTTACAGTTGTGAGTATGTGAAACAGAGTTTATTCTTGTATTATTATTTATTATTGTGTTATTTTCCATATGAACATCTGTAGACCTACTTTTGCCCCACCCTTTCTGTAAACAGTACATTTTTCTCTGCTGTTCAAACTGAACACATTTTTTTTGCATCAAGATCTTTGTATCTATTACTCTTCCCTTGATTGTTTTTAAAGAATGTGCAATTTTTCAAATTAATTTATGGATATTGTAATATAACTTACATGATGTTCCTTACTATAGCAAATAAGTGATAGCTTTCAACAAATATGTAATCAAACATTTATGGACCATCACAACTTTTTCTGATAGTTACAGGGTTTTTTTTACTATTATAACTTACTACCAGTTGAAGATTTGCACATGATGATTAATATACTATACATTTTCATGCTGACATTTTGATGATTTCTCTTCCTAGTCTTTATATACTTTCCTTCCATGTCTTTAGTGATTATGCTGAAGCATAATCCCCAATGGGGTATTTGACACTTACTTCATAATTAAATCCATGCATGTGAACTGCAGTAATTTCTGCACAATATCTAATAAACTATATTATGTATTTTGGTTGTCTACCTAATGTCAAATTCAATTTAGGGGAAACAATCCAGTTTCTAATTTGATATATGGAAAATATGCAGCTTTCACTTTTCAAAAAGTTGTTTCATCATCATGGAGATTCAATCTGCCTATTATAAAATGAACGTTTGTTTTACAACAAAACTAATTTTTTCATTACTTATCAAACTTCTGACATCAAAAAAATACTAAATTTTCTAAAGTCTAAGGCAGTATAGAGATGTCACCTGATTTTTAAATATAAAGTTAAACTGTTGAGTCATACGGGTGCTCTCTAACGATTTTGTGTTTAACATAATCAAAAACACGGATGGAAGACATCTGGGCCTCAGTTTCATCCAATTCATAGGCAAGTATCAAAGCTAAATCCTCATTTATACTTATAGTTGGGAAAATGTGTCCTAATGAGAAGTATTTGGTGGTAGTTTCCTAAAACTCTATATAAGGTACCATGAAAGCTTAGTTCTCTTATTTCTGTCTTTGGAAGTTTTATTCTTGTATTTTGGGTAGTTTTCTCTCCCATTCTATATGTCTCTTTACTTGTGGATGTCACATGTCTTCTGTATGTCCATGTTCATCTCTACCATGGAAACTTATTTTGTGTTATGAGTCTCTCTTCCTTTACTTATGCCCATTATTTGGTTTTGCTTCCTATTGTGTAGAACTTGACAGGATTCTAAATTCTAGCTAATTAAAATCTGTCATTTTTTTGTAGAAATTTATACTCCTTGGTCTAAATTTTACATGTGAGTTAATTAAATTTATATTTCTATTTGTATTTGTAGATTCAAGTCATGCTTTATTTATAGTATGTGCATATACTC